TTATGAATCCATATTTTTACGCTTGGAGCATGCTTGTTTGGTTGATCACCAAAGTCGTGGAGGGTATCCGGCTTTGCGCATAGTGAGTATTTTGTCTGCTCAAGGTAACGTCTGCAATGGTAATCCCTCTAACTCTTAGTCTTTCGGGTTGAATCCATCTATACGATTGGGTTCAAGTGGCTGGTGGCCCGAGTAGTTCAATACGCATGAGTTGTCGCGTATCATTTGGTATCAGAGCTTAGGCTCTGGACCGAGATGTATGTTATTTTTCTGTCTTTAAAATTCTTGTCTTTGTCATATATATATATATAATCATCCATTGTTTTTGTTTTCCGCGTGGCTTTTGGATCTATCTATCTTGCATAAGAAATTTTTATTTTGAAAAATATATTTAAAGTGTATAAATATTATTTGTTTGTGTTCAGCGCCTCAAAAGCTTTCCAAGAAACCAAGTTTCACTTTAATTCGAGCCTCATAGTCGAAGTTATCAATTTTTCTTCGAACCCTAAAATTTGAGAGAAACCCGCAGAAGCACCAAACCGAGAGCCGAATTAAAAAATCCATAACTTTTTGCTCCAAAGTCTGAATTGAGTGAAACCAGTGTCATTCGGAATATGTTTGAGTTAGTTTTCCAGAGAATTCATGATCAATAATTTTTGATTTGTGGTATGGGAGTTATATAGTTTTTCGTGAGCATGGTTTTCCGGAAAATCCTACAGCCGCCGAGAGAACACAATCCAAAATTCGACGATTTATATCTCTCAGACCGTTTTGTCGTTTGTAGTCAAATTAGATGTCAATTGGAAGGTCGAAAGGGCTTTCCAGGGACATAAAGATTGTAGCCATCCAAGGTCTGTAGCGAATCTTATTGGCATTAGAAGAGAAGATGTCCAGGTAGAAACTTTTCATATTTGCAGCTGGAAAATTTTGGATAAAATATTTGGGCAATAAAATCTTGTCCAAATCGATTTCTTTTTAGCAAGTAATCCTATCATTGTTCATTCTTATTATTAAAATTATTTTGGAATTATTTTGTCAATGTTGGACAACCTTAAAGAAGGAGGACAGCTGCCACACCCTCTGGGCCACCCAAAAGGGGGGCATGGTTTGAGTCCAATCCGAGCCATATACAGCATGCACCTATCACCCAAAGTCACCCATCTTGCCGCAAAGGTTACTGTTTTGTTGGTAAGAAAATATTTTGTGTGTGTTTTCAGTACGAGTAGAATTTTGTATATCGTTTAAAGTTATTTTTGTTTTCATTGATTTTTATTGCATATTTCTTTTATTATCATCCTTCGACTTCAAGTTGTATATTGTTGTCGAGTCCTTAGTACCTAGAGCATCAGGCTCAAGGTTGCATCTTATCTTTCATTGTTTATATCTTTGTTTCATTCTTCCTGTAATATCATTTGGTATTTCCTTCCAACCATTCCTTTATTGGCTTTGGTATCATCTATACCATCGACCCCTAGTAAATAAAAAGAAGGTATTTTTGCATAGTTGCTTGAAGGCTTGTGCTTGCTTGTGCAAGAGCTGATTACCACGAGCAATCAAGGGAGCATCTCTAAAATGGTATCCACACCAACATCCACCCTACCAAAAGGAGAGAAGCCGAGAAATAAGGAAGTGAGTGAGAATTTCTTTATTATTTTTGCTAACCTTTACTTGTGTAGTGATGGCAATAAGAGGAAAGACTCAAGACTCTCAAGAAGAAAGAGACAAGGCCAACATGAGCGATGAAAGACTTAAAAGAAGCTCAAATCAAAGCATTTGCAGGATTCACACAACCACTTGAAGATCTTACCGAATTTTTACAAATCATGAACACTCGTGTTCAAGGATTAGAAGGGTCACAAAGAGTGCCACACCAAAGGAGATCAATGAGTCTAAGAGAGGCATCGAACGACTCCTAAGAAGAAGATGTAAAGGACTTTAGACGGATATTTTACTAATGTTTTTTTTTTTTTTAATGTAGGTCCTCCAAGAAGAGAGCATACACATACATTGGCCAAGGAAGAGGAATATTCGAACCTAACCGAGAAAGGCCAATAAAGGAGAACTACATGGGGAGCATTGTTAGGGTTGACTTTTTACTGTTGAAACATGTGTCGGTAGTCCTGTTTGACCATGTTTTTTACCCCATTCCCATCATTATTTTCCAAAAAGAACCAAATATTCTTAAAGTAAAACATGTATAGATTATTTCTGCATAAAAGTCAAACTATGGTACTTTAGGAAAAATATGAGAAAAATACGGTCAAAGTTGGAAGAAAATAATAGAAATCTGTTTTGCAGAATTGCGCCGAGCGCATTTTTGGAGAACAAAATGATGACATTTCCTACATGTTTAACACCGTGAGTCCAAGTCCAAGTGAGGGAGTTAGGTCAATCTCGACCCATTTCCACCTAAAATGGAGGGGAGTTTCAACCAACCTATGGTGCTATAAAAGAAAGTCATCCCTCCAGCAGCATTCCATCCGTTCCAAGCTTTATTTAATCTTCTTTTAGTTGCTCTCTAGTTGTAGAACTCGTTTTTAGGGTTTATGTTTATGTTCTAGTTGTTTATTTCTTTGTTTGTCATGATTTTACCTTTCGTATTGCTTTTAATTCAAGTTCTTACTTCTGTTCTTTGTTCATTCTGTTTTTTTTTTAAGTTCTTTAGCGAGTTTCAACTCCCCTCATGCTCGAGAGAGATGAGGGTCAAGCTAGAACTCATTCTTTTATGTTTTTGTGCATTTACTTACATTTAATTATGTTCTAAATTATTTATCAAGCTCTTTGTGGAATGCTTTAGTCAAAATGATTTGATTTCAACACGCTCGGGATTTACCCAGAATTGCGCCTGACACTTTTTTGGGTTGGTTTCAAAAAACTTCTCTTTATGTCTTTTTTCCATTTGGCCAGTGGGAACTTGATTTTTACACCAAAGCCCAACATTGGGAAAGGTGAGTTAGGTAAAATAATAGGAAACCAATAGGAAATGTGACTTAGGCATAAGCACATAAAACATGGTCCTAGACATAGACCCTCTAACCCATAATGCAAGTGAGTTGGTACATATTCTCTAGGATTGTAATCACACATAGGCATATGATTGTAGGTTACCCTAGCCTCTGCAGCAACGAAAAGTGGTAGTGAAATAGTAGAACTCGAATCCCAAGAAAAGTCAGGAATTGCGCCTAGTGCATTTTCCCAACAAAGTGTGTTTTTCATATTTTGCATCAAGACTAAGGTAGGAGGCAAAGAGGTTGAGTTTTATTAAATTGCTTGCTAGTTAAAACCCCAAACAACAACATTTCATCAGTATTTTCTTCATAAACCATAATTGCATATTTGAACTATTCACTTCTTTAAAATTGTTTTGAAAGCAACAAGTCCCTAAGGATTCGACCGTGGATTATTACCAAGTATTACTTGTGACCGTGTGCGCTTGCACGTGTCACTAATCTTTTTGAAGGTAGAGAAAGTCTCAACAAGCATCAAATTGAAAATCCCAACATTCCATGGAAAGTCTACACCCGAGGAGTTTGAATAGTGGGAGAAGGAAATTGAGTTAGTTTTCACATGTCATGACTATGATGGTAACCAGAAGGCAATTCTCGCAATCACTCACTTTAAAGATTGTGCAGTAACTTGGTGGGATAAAGTGATGTCTCATAGAAGGAGGAACGATGAACGACCCATTGATTCTTGGTCAAGGAGCTTAGGAAGAGAAGATTTGTGTCACCACACTACCATAGAGCAGATTCAAGAAAACTTAATAAGCTCTCTCAGGGCACTAAAGGAGTTGCAGACTACTACAAAGAGATGTACATGTTGATGATCACTTTGCAACTGGAATAAGACAAAGAGACCACCATGGCCCGATTCTTAGATGGTCTTAACCTGGACATAGCCAACAAGATGATTTGCAACACTATGCAGACATGGAGGAACTTTTACACCTCACCGTCAAAATAAAGAAGCAAAACAAAGGAGGGTAAAAGATATATCAAATCTACCCCTAAGGCCACTAGTAGCAAAATGGAGAGTAAATCCCTAGAGTCAAAACCGTAAGCTAGTTATGAAAAGGGAGAGTTATCCAAGTTCAAAACCCAGCCCGACATTCTTAAAACTAGGACTAGTGAGATCAAATATTTTAAGTGTCATGAAGTATACCACATAAGCCAAAATTGCCCTAATTAACCAAAGAGCATGATCCTTAGGGGAGGAGAGCTAGTCACAAACGATGTGGAGGAGAAAATAGAGGTTGGTGAGAGAAAATAAGAAAGTAGTCAAGAAGAGGAAGTATAAGACGATTCCAATGATATGACCTTCGTCGGTAGGAGGATCCTCAATGTGCAATATAGGGAAGAACCCTTCGAAGGACAAAGAGAGAACCTATTCCATACTAGGTGCATAGTGAACTCCACCTCAGGTAGTGTTATCATTGATGATAGTGGGAGTTGGACTAATGTTGCTAGTAAGGATATAGTGGAGAGATTGAAATTAGCCACCAAACCCCAGCCACCACCTTATAACCTACAATGGTTAAATGATAGTGGGGATGTGAAGGTCCAAAAACAAGTTCAAGTTCCATTTAATATAGATAGGTACAAAGATGAGGTAACTTGCCCTATATTTTCAACATCCCAAATGGGAACCGTTACTACAACTACTTAAATTTTTTTTTTGTTTTACTCAATAATATAAACGTCCACAACAACCAAGACTAATCGAGAAATCCACCATGCTTCCGCTGCGATACTCTGATCTGAACACTTACAAAAGCTTGAACAAAACACACCAGACAACACTAAAGATCTAACCGAACCTTAAATTCTTTACGGTTAATAGTTTAATGACAACTCAACCTTATCCAAACTTCTAAATGAAACCTTTACTAACCATAAACTATCTACTAAACAAAATTTAACTTTTCAAACAGCAACAAAATGCTAACTTAACTTCAACATGAACAAATGTATTAATAGTTACCCTTAATAGATAACAACTTCATAGTTCAAATAGCTAAACTAATGTTCTCAAAAGAATTACGACTAACAACCTTAAAACATCCTGTAAACAGTAAACTTATACAACCCACCTATTAATCAAATAAAAACTCAAATAACATAAACAACTTCCCCTATCCTATTTAAAAATGAAAATAAAATGACACAACACTATATGGTTCTTCCAGTCAAGTCTCCTCCTCGCCATCACCATTCCTGAGAGTGACCCCGTTACCTACAAAACCTGGAGTGAAAGGAAGGGGTGAGTACAACCACGGTACCCAGTAAGTAGCTTTTACCTAAAGGGTCACGCACAAACAACATGCTTACACAACAACAAAACATCATACTCATTAATATCATGCTTTAAATAAAACGGAATAGATTATGCAAATGCTTGACCTAACATGCAACCTACATGGCAGACCCAAGCCTCACATAAAAACTCACTAATTCTCTTTCTTCTTCCTCTAACATTTATTCCTTCGAGTCGTTTCAACCTCTGACCTTTGTACCCAGGGCCTCGACACTTCTCTACAACTCTCGGTGTTCGACCCTTGACCTTTGTACCCAAGGCCTCGAACTGT